GGGGCGGAGGCCGCGTGGGCGGGGTCTAAGGCGGCAGTGTTTTTGGACAGTCGCCGTGCTGATGGGTGTGATTGTGGTTTCGAATTGCACCGCTCTGATGATAGGTAATACTGAGCATCTTTCATATACTTGTCGCTCATTTATCTATCACCTCTGGAGAAACGTGTGTCCAAGTCTGCTCATTTTTCATTTGGGTTATTTGATTTTTTTGTTGTTGAGTTGTAGTTCTTTGTATCTTCTGGATATTAATACCCCTTACTAGGTATATGATTTGCAAATACTTTCTCCCATTCTGTAGATCGCCTTTTCACACTTTCGATTGTGTCCTTTGGTGCCCCAAAGTTTTTAAGTTGGCTGTAGTCTCATTTTTAGTTTTATTGCCTGTGCTTTTGGTGTCACAGCCAAGAAATCATTGCCATGTACAATGTCATGAAACTTTCCCTCTATGTTTTCTTCTTGGAGTTTTATAGTTTTAGTTCTTAGGTTGTCTTTTTTTTCCTTTTTTCTCACTATATAATTATTTTTAATGTCCAGAGTTTATAATATGAGGGCCAGAGCTCCCACACTCAGGTTTATAAATTCTCAATTGGCTTGTGAGGCCAGTAGGGATACTTCTTTTTGTCTCATTTGGTTTCTGGGAAGACTTCATTCAAATCCTCAGTGGTCATCTGATCAAATGGAATTATGTTCATCTTCTCCAGCTCTTTCTTGTATTGCTCAATCCTGCTCTTTGAGAGAGACAAAAGCTCCACACAGCTTTTCACATCTTCTTTTTCTTCAGCATCCACCAGGGCACTGTATTTATCCTCTGGCACAGGGACCTTCAGGGCATTAAACTTCTTCTCAAAGTCATCTACCAAGCTGGCCTTCGCTTCATTGGCCTTGTAGTAAGCCCAGTCGATGGCGGGTGGTTTCTCAGGTAGAGTAGCCGACCTGGAGGTGAAGGTCTCATTCCAGGATTTCAGGGTGTTAGCAATGGCCTTCCGGTTTCGGGGTATGATCTCTCCAAAAGCTACCCAGTCAATAGTTTTTAGAGCAAGTTTTCGCCCAGCCATCTTGAGATCCTTCACCGACCCCTTATGTTAAGTCTTTAATACATTTTGAGTTAATTTTTATATATGGTGTAAGATAAGGGTTTAACGTCATTCTTTTGCATGGATATCCAGTTTTCCCAGCACCATTTGTGGAAGAGACTCTCCTTTCTCCGAGTGGTCTTGGCACCCTTGTCGAAGACCAGTTGACCATATGAGTGATTGTTTATTTCTGGGCTCTCTATTCTGTTCTACTGGTCTGATTGTCTTTTTATGCCAGTGTCACCCAGTTTTGATTACATTAGCTTTGTAATATATTTTGAAATCAGGAAGTGTGAGTGGCACTTTTAATTTATGCTGTTGCGGGGGTTAAGCAATAGAGAATAGAGAAGTTGACAATGGAGAATACAATTCAAACAACTTCTCATTTTCTTTGAAGGGACTAGACACTTAAAAATGAAGTAACATGATTTAAATGGCAGAATGTATGCAAGGCTATCAGTTTCCAACTAGTATAGTAAAAGCTATGGGCTAGCACTTCCTAGTTTACAAAATGCTTTCACAGATATTTAGTCCAGTGGCTTGGGAAAGCTTCAAAAGTGTGATGGACCTTAAATTGACCTTGAAAATTAGATGTATACTTCAGTGGGTGTAAATACCCCAAACCATTTGTGTCAATTGCATCACAGTGCTGTTGGGAAGTCTTTAATGAAAGCCTCTAGTAATCTCAAGATTTTCGGTGGCATCAGTTATTATAAGAACTGTCTTTTGTGATTTTTTTTCTTCCTTGACACGATACTGCCTTTCTGTTCCAATCTGGTAGTTTCTGATTTTTCATATCTGCTCATTGAATAGCAGTGGGCCACATACAGAGATAAAGTACTAAGCCACAGCAGTGTTTTAATTTGTACGGTGTGCAAAAAACAGGAAATTAACCTGGCTGGGTTGTATAGGATGAATTGAAGGAGAGAGATTGGAGCCAGAACAGAAAATTGAGTGGCTGCTTCAATAAGTAATTTAGGATACTTAAGACCTACTTTCTCACCTTCTTAATAAAACTATTAGGATAATTTTGGTTGGGTCTATTACTTGAAGGGACATTTAGTAGAGTTTCTCTGGAGGAAAATTGTAGTTTGCTTACATATATAGTAGGCCGGTAGTAAAGAGTTATTTAATGGTGACCAAATGAATTTATGCCTACATGGGTAGGTCTCTAAGTGGTAACTTACTCACTTATCCCATAAGTATTTATTGACTCCCACTGTATGCCAGGGGCTAGTGGCTGCTTCTAGGGAAGAAAGGATAGATACATGGTTCCTGCTCTAATGAGGCTAATCTTCTTCTAGGGATTGTTGTGGTCCTTTTCAGTGTTCTATCCTTTCATCTGGTGGGATTTTTCTGTCAAAGGCCACCTGTGTTACTTCTGATATAAAACAATTATAGTTGAAAATAGCCTTATATTAAATATTCTTTGTGTAGAGGAAGAAAGAAACACTAGACAGTTCTGCCTTTTGGTTTCCAAGGAAATATGTCTTGGCTAAATTTATTTTACCAAGTGCTTTTCTAAGTAACAACTAAAGGAAACAGGCTTTAATGAATTTTGGTTAAGGTTTTCCTGAGGAACCAAATAAGGTTTTTAAGTCTTCGTTTTTTCTTTCACGCCTCTGCCAAGAGAATCTAGAAACCTAGTTTTGACTAATTCTGGATTTTTCCATTCATTGTCAGATCTTAAAAGAGCCATGTACCTTTTTTGGATCATCTTTCAATTGTTCATTCATGTAACAAATTTTCAGTATGCATTTACTATATACCAGATAATCTTTTCATTTGGAAAAGGAAGGGGGTTGAGGGTTGAATTAAGTTTCCTTGAAGACCAACTCTTAAAATTCTGTGAATTTATTAGCGTGATTTAGTGAGATTTGAGGGCTTTTTGCAGATAGCAGAAATGTTTTTGAAAGAACCAAAGAAATAGAAATGTAGAGTTTTTGTTTTTAATTCTGAAACGTTTTATTGGGAAAATTCTGTAGTGCTGGATAATTTTAGCATTAGTTTCACTTTGATCTAAAAACAATCAACATTTTAACTCAACTTTGAGAGTCTTTCCTTGTATTTTTGGTAGAAGACAGTTCTGAATTTAACCTTTCTTCTGTTACTTGTAATACCTTAGAAATTTAATTTCTGTTTCAAATGATTGGTGTAGTGCCAGTGTGGGAGGTTTAGAAATGCTCATCACCTCTTCTAGGTGCTTAGTTCCAAATCTTTTAGGGCTTGTATCATTTATGTATTTTGGTAGCCTTGAGATAGTGACGTCATGTCACTGGATGCAGAAGTCACACTGAAGATCTTAGGAACAGCACTGTGATCATTAGCTGGCAGTTGTCATGCTGCCAACTATGTAATATTCTGATAACCCAAGTGTGAGTTTGTGTGGCTTTATAAAATGATATTTTCATTTTAATTTGTTGTTAGAAATTCAACAGAGTATTGCTTATGTATTTTAAGATTCAGTTATGCAAAGTAAAACTTAAACATTTTCTCTCATGTGGATTTTTGGCTGTTGGAAATCTGGTCTCCTTGTCACTAAAGAACATTGGAAGATCTATTGTAGTCCTGGCTCTGCGACTTTCGCCATTTTTCTTTTATTTACTAATCAGCAACATCCATTGAGCACCTTCTAGATGGCAGATACTGTTCTCATCCTGGATGTACAGCTATGAACAGCTCTGAGTGAGATAGGAAACCACTAGACAGTGCAAAGGGTTTTGATCTGACATTTTTAAAGGATAAATCTCTGCTGTGTAGAGACTAGAAAGAAGGTGGGGGAGGCAAAGGTGGAAATAGGGAGATATTAGGGGGTTCTAGCAGTAATCTGGGTGAGATGTGATGATAGCAGTAGTGGAGGCGATGAGAAGTGGCTGGATCCTGGACATAACCCGAGTGGGGCTAATGTGATTCACTGAAGGATGAGATGATACAGAGTGAAAAAGACTGGAGTCAAGGATAACACCAAGGTTTTTGGCCTGAGCATCTGGAATAATGGAGGTGCCATTTATTGAAATGAGGAAGACTAGAGGAGCAGGTTTGGGTGGAGAATTAAGAACTGATTTGATCATGCTGGGTATGAGATACCAGTGGATGTGCAAGTGGAGAAGTCAAGTTGGCAGCTGGGTAGGTCTGTTCATGAGCTTCATTTTTCTCATTTGTGAAGTGGGGAAAGTATTTGCCCTTTTCAGAATTCTTGAGATCAAATGAGAAGAAAAAAAAAGTTATAGCTTCTGAAGTTATGTCCTGTGGTGGTGATATTATTTCTGGAAAGAAGACTGTTACCACCTTATGTACTTTGTGGTTTCTCTTGAGCTACTTAACTCACATGCCAGAATGTATTGTGGAAAGTTGGCATTTGCCTTCCAAAGGCTGGTTTTCTCTCTGAATAGGTGGAAACACTTCCATTCGGTGAGTCCTGGGCAGCTTCTGGGGGAACTTGGTATTTTGGTTCCTTCTTGGGTGTCTTGGACTTTATTTTGGATACAGCCATGGGAGTACTACATTTGTGGCACCAGACTTGCCCCTTACTAAACAAAGTTTCAGGCAAAAGTAATTTTATTTAGGTGAGAGGATATTGTAGTAGGAAAACAAAATGGCCCTTTCCTTCCTCAAAGTCTTTATTATTTTAGGTTTTCCATAACTTAACTCAGTTAACAAGTAAGGTCTCATAGGTCACTTTTATTGGGGAGTCCACTCACCATGTACTCCTATGTTTTTTTGATTGCTTAAAACTTTGTTATAAGCAGATGAAATATGTTAAATATATATTTGAACCCACTGAGTTAAAATTTACTTAAGATACAAGTGAAAATGTTGAAAGCATCAGTCTTGTATTTCAGTGAGTGGTATTTTGAATTTATTAAGTGTCTTTCCTTAGAGGCTGTAATTCATAGTTGTATCCCTAGCATGCAGTGTCTGTTGATAATTGATTTCCTCCCAAGAGTGAGATGTTGCTTTAGGAACATCTTCAGTCAAGAGATGTGGTGCTGGTTCTTGGCTCTTCTCATGCACGAGGCGGTTCGCACAGAAACACTCTGCTCTCACTTCACTGCCCTGCTGGTTTCATCATCCATCCATGGCAGTGATTTTCACCCGTGCGCCGCTGGAGGCAGCAAGAAGTTTTAAAACGTGCAATACCTAACTGTTTAGTCGGATGTGCTGACCTCTCTTCCCTTAGGTTGTCAGATAAAAAAATGACAACAGCCAGCACAATAGCCATCTGGTGTGAATGAGTCAAAATTATACCTATTTTTTTGTCAGATCAGTAAAAAATATATATATATTTATTGGTGTGCCGCAGAATTTTAGGAATTAGTGTATATGTGTGCCATGAGATGAAAAAGGTTGAAAATCGCTGGTCTACAAGATTCAGTTGGGCATCAGCTGTCTGTGCCCAGTGCGAGTTATGTGATTTAGAAAGTGAAATCTGTGCCCTTGAGTGCCTGGCACGTGTTTATGAGTAAGTGACAGTCTTTGGGAACTCTATCTGAGTCAGTACTCTAGGTGCTCAGTGAAAAGAGGGCAGTCATGGCTTTAATGAGAGAATGTATCAGGGTAACAGAAGCTATATTTGTCAGTAGATGTGGTGGAGGCAGAAATTATTTGGGTTATCCTCTGGTATCTTTCATATGAGGACATCTCTCTATATTAGGGCTTTTGTCAGGTCCTCAAATTTATAAAATAGATTTACTCATCTGTTCTGTAATTGTTAAATTACATAATCTTTTGCTTTTCACTGAATTGGCTTACTATGCATTATTTTATTTCAGCTTCTAAGAAACCTGAATCATAGGTATCTAGTGTAATGTCACTTGACATAATTATTGGAAAAAACCTATGCCATTGTCTTTCCTTTTGAAGTACATATAAGAATATTTAGATCAATTGTAAGAGATAATTTTAAAGGATGTATATGTTTAAATCTCTATCTTTTCCATGCCTCTAGAAGGAATACAACTTACGTAGACTTTCTAAAATATCTTTTAATACTTTCC